ACGTGTCTGTAAGATTTTCGCCATCTAAACTACTCAGCATCCTGCCGAGGGATTTTGGCTTTCAGTTTTATTGGAATCGAGCCTTTTTCCTGTGGCATGTGAGTAACGCTACTTCTACCACACCACTGAGCCAGCAAATATGTAAGAAGATGAATTTTTTTGAAAGTTTCAATGAGTTTTAGGCAAGGAGAAAATCGACGACAAGCAGCTTCGTTTGGCAGCTGCTCTCGGCGCACCCGTCGGTGCTTTTCCGGCTATACTATCAGCTCTGGATGAAATTGGTTTAACAGGTGGAAGTGTTGTTTTGTTGAAGGAGTTACACCGGTTACTCATCTGTTGCGTTAAGGTATGTCAATGTGCTTTTAGAAATGTTTCGACTTTTCCAGCCACCAACTGTACCTGGAAATTCGATTTAGGGACATCTCATATAGCTAGCTTAGCCTTTAATTGTCATGTCAAGGATAGACGTCCTCCTAGCGGGCCGCAAAAACACTGCATTTGGGTAGTGATGTTTTTGCTTGACATCGCCGTTGACCGTGTCAGTCAATACTTAATGTGAGAGTGTTCTTGCGTACGACTGCGACTTACATCCAGCAAGGAGAGCTTTGTTGTTAAAATCTTACAATTAAAGCAATAAACTGGATTTTTGAAATTATGGTTTTTGAACCGGAGATTGAGTACAGTTCACTCCGGACAGTGAGTGCGGCGCAGAAACTATAATTCCTAAAATTTCGGGCCGCAGAATTAGCTTATTGTTGTTGTTAGACCTTTTTTGGACGTGCTAAAACTTGTTATTTTGTTTGCCTTCCCGACATGTTTAGCACACCAGGCTGACTAGTCTTCCACTTATTTTTTCAATTCTTTTACAGTTTTCGATAGCAGTTGACTGTTTTTGACGAAATCGTCTCGTTTGGGCTGATTTTACTTTTCGCGATGGCGACTTTTAAAAAATTCCGACCAAGTTCACTCTTACGTTGCAGAGGTGAGGGCAGCAGACTAGGTTGAGCATGGCGAAATGTAAACTCTGGCAGCTTCAAGCATACCAGAAAGACACTTTCTGCATTTCTTTCCTGCTAAGCTAAAATAAAACGGATCATTGTCAGCCTAAATCAACATGTGGCGATAAGATTAGGCAGCTGTGTACAAAGCGAAAAAGCGTTTATATGACGCAGAATGGTGCACGTCATGAATAGAATGAATTAAAAAAGCTTACTTTTTAATTCGGCCTTCAGTGGCTGATTAGAGGGCGAGAAGTTGCCAGAAATCTCAACCAAAGGATGCTGGCATGAAATGGCTAGAATTTTTTGATATGCACTTGCGGCTGTATGTGACTGTTGCGAGACGAGCTTTCTTGCCATCTCCAGGAGTTCTGCAGTAATATGGCTCTACGTATTCGCTGTTTGTGAAAGCGGCAAGCAAAGAAGTAACCGATTCCTCAGATGACTTTTGAAAAGTGGCACACATACACCAAGCAAAGATGGGTAATGACTAAAAACATGCGGCTTAAGAACTAATGGCCTAACACAGAGTCAGGCTTGCATCCCATCAAAATTAGCAAATTTGAATCAGCACTTCGATTGTTTGGAAGTTTTTGGTATTTTTGATTTTGATTAGTTCTTGTTTGAAATTTATATGAGATCTGGTTATTTTTAGGTTGAGAGCAACCGCCGGCAGTTAAACGAATGTGGTGGCATTCGAAAGTTTCTGCATGTCGTTGAAGTGATATATAAAAGTGGCGTCAAGGATGACATATCGGAATCCATTACACTGCTTTACCTTGATCTAACGAAGAAATTGTTGGCTGATGTTCTCGCTACTGATGAGATAGAAAAGGTAAGTATATAATTAAGATTATCTGCAAAATCTCATCACCGTAGTTATACGGCAGCAAAGGGAACAGGAGTAGCAGGGAAGTCCAACAGGTAACCCAATCATTTTCGGCTATGTAGCTTTGGAGACGTTTCCTTTTATTGTTTGGCGGGAGGAATTGTGGCGGAGCTTTTGCATACTTTACGCGTCAGCAAATAGTATTAAAACAAATATAAGAAAGCAAGTACAGTTCTTTTATTTTGCAGCAGTGGCCTTCTGTCTTCCTCCATTTCAGCATGAAAATTATTAGCGAATTGGACACTGACGTTTTGCATGCACCTTTAATTGAGAAATGGTTTTGAATTAAAACACACACCGAAATTTTGTCATTAAAAACGACTTTTGCAGTTAAATGCGTTTTCCGTTGCATTTGTCCTTTTTTAGCTTGTATAGTTATCCGTGAGGATTTTTAAAACCCATATTTTCTTGTTGATAAGCATTTGTAGAAAAGATTAGGAAGCATACTTTCTAGCAGCCTTATTATAGCACCGTTTTACCGCAGACATGCTTTTCC